GAGCACGAGAAATCGTAAACGAATCCCGATAACCTTCTTACAATTTTAAAAGTCTCTATCAGATCTCCCCTCACTCTTCTACGCTCCATTCGAGAGAGATTGAGATTTCTTAGCCGCTTCTCATAGCTTTTTCCTCTTTTGCTCAGTCACCATTCGAGTATCTAAGCGTTGCACTCTTTCTAAACATGTAACATTCTTCCTATAATACGGTGCCCATGCCTGCACACAATATTCCATGTGTGGGCGAATAATCGATTTATACAAGCGGACAAAAACCGCAGACTCTCTGCATGTCACCGTGGCACACAGCCTGAACAGCTGTCCCTTAGCTTGATTGGTAGCTTTGGAGAGCTGATTTGGGGGTTTAAAACCTTGGGTGATAAAATCCCCTAGATCCTTGATCTGCGAAACCTGCCGCATGGGAGTCCCATTAAACTAGTATACCTCCGCACCCGTTGCTAAGAGCCAACACTCGCTTCGATGGACTACCTCTAGGTCCCTTTACAGGTTTAACCCTATCATTTTGACATCATCAGCAAACATGAAGCACGGATTTTGAAGATCCTGTGCCAGATCGTTGATGAATATGATAAAACGTAAGGGGCCTGGCATTGAGCTCTGGGGAACCCACTTGTTAACATATCATGGTTAGAAATGTAGTCGCCCACCTTGACCCAGAAGAGGCAAGTACTCAAAAAGGCTACAGTTTAATCCCTTGCTCCACCTGTCATGCCTAGGCTCCGAACTTTGAAGTCCAACAATTGATAACTGAGAGAAGTCTAAGTATCAGACTTCTACATTTTCTCCTCATCCACAGATTAAAGGACTTCATCTGGGAACACAAGCAGATTCTTTAGACATGATTTCTGTTGCACAAAGTCACGTTGTGCCGGTGTCATGAGTCGATTGATAGTCAGATGTAGGCAAATCCATCTTCTGATCAGTCTCTCCAGGCACTTACACAGCACTGATGTTAGGTTAACGGGTCTGTAGTTTTCTGCTTTGTGTTTCGGTTCAGCCTTTTGCAATGCTACTACGATAGCTGTACGCCAGTCCTGGGGTAGTACAGCAGTTTGCATTCATTCTATAAAAAGTACAGTTAGCGGTCACACTAGCACCTCGGCCAGCGGTTGCACTGTGACTGGATGGGTTTCATCCGGACCTGCTGACTTGTGCTTGTTGAGCGTCTAGAGTTTACAATATACATCTGTTTCACAGAAGGCGATTTTGGCAAACTCTAAAGTATCAGTTGACCTTTCTTAACCCGAATTGTCAAAGTTGAGGATCCTTTAAATGTCTCGAAGAACTTAAGTAGGGTTTTCGCTTTATCGCGGTTACACGTAGCTATGCTTCCACCGGACAAACCTAGTGCTCCTAAACTCTCCCCTGTTCGTGCGTTGACTTGAACGTACGCACAGAATCTTTCCGAGTTCCTTTTGACGCCTAGCATTAATTTAAATTCTAAATCATATTTGACACACCTTTGGAGATCTTGACAGCTGTAGCGCGCTTGCTTGTAGTTACTCCAAGCTTGCTGAGTGCTGTAAAACTTAAAGCGATCCCAGTATCGTTGGCGATTTTTAGCACGCTCTCTATTCCGGGTTTCCACTATATTGGTCTATGCTTGATTCCTCCTTCCCTCAGTGGCGCGAACCTTGCTGTGAGGCTACTTAACCCTCCTTTAACTACGTTCTATCTATCTTGCACAGTACATTCCGGGGAAGTCGGGTATCAGCTGATGGTATTTGCAGTTTTTTACAATTCTGTAATGTTTATGCAACCATAGATAGGCGTAAGAGTAGGTCTGTGTCTAGGATAGCTAACCATTAGTTTAAAGCCAGTGACTTCGTGGGCAATCTTGCCCAACGGTCCCTCCATATTTAGACTAGTAATGTCCGGGCAGTACCTTGTGACAACTAGGTCTATCAGCGACGGTCTCTGTTTTCCTCGGTATCTCGTTGTTCTTCTTACATGATGTGTAAAAGATCTTTTCTGTAATCACTTCAGAAACCCTTCAGCTTGAGAACCTGCAGTCGCGCATCCATGTGCCTAGGCTATGTCTGGAAAGTTGAAGTCGCCTATTATGAGAAACCTCTGATACCTAGGACTAGCTGTGTTTCCCACTGGCTGAGAGAGGACTTAACTAATATTAATACACCCCTCCCTGTCTCCCATCTACTCTATCCTGTCGGTAACTAGTAAAGCCCCGTAGGCTGGCCACAACTTGCAATTCCTGCAAACAGGGTTCCGTAATAACAATGATTCCGGATCCATGGGAGAGTGTTCCAATCTTGCCTCATTTTCCTCGGACATTACAAGCGTTAGTATACCAGATCGCAATACTGTTTACCTTTAGCTGTGGGGCTCTTTTGTACTCTTTGAATCCTCAGAAGTAAGACCCGAGGGTTAACCCTGTTTTTTGCTGCTGTGTAACATCTGGAGACGGCCTCTGCTATCTAAGATACGCCGCCTTTAGATCTACCTAGTCGGATGACTTAGATGTATGTGGCGTGAACGTTTTGAGGGAACTGTTGGTCCTCGCGTCTGGGACTGGTATTTATGCCCAGTCCTGATCGGCGTTTTGGCGTATTTGCTACTACTGTTGCCCAGGTGCTGCCCTCCGACACCCTTTCGTGAGGGGAGGTTCCCAACGCTCCGTTCCTGAGATTATCTTTCTTTGAAGAAAAAGACTTCTGTGCTACACTTTTAGTTTTGCCGCAGCTACGGGGCTGGAAGCGGTAGTTGTTTTCATCGTACCAACCGCTTTCTTTTTGCTTCCTGTCAATTCTCACAACGGAGTTCCTTTAGGCATTAGCATTGATCTACTCAAAGATCAACCCTTCGGTCCGTGGTGGGCACAACTGACCTTGAATTTTCATTGAGTTAGTCGCTGACAAAACTTTTCCTGGCACTCATACCATTTATAGCTTAACTACTACATTCATTAGCGGTCTTCCTTTGTGTTCACTGATGAATGGACAATTGGTTCTACAGACTATGGGGTGACAATTATGACGCACCTGGTGATGTTTTCTCTTGCCGCTGCTCTACATAAGACGCGGCCCCTCGCGTATATGCTGGCGAAGACTAGCAATATAATTCGGGGTTGGAGGGCCCTTTCACTTTGCCATAGTTCTACCCTATGACACTTAATAACTCCCGTTATGGGAGTCACCACTGCTATCCTAAGCACGGCCTGTAAAACTCTGTAAATCTGAATGAGTTGTGATTGGTCACTGATTTATAAAACGTGCCTTGTTTTTACCCGGGCGCTGTTCAATATGTGAAATACCGGTAGATATTCCACTTGAATAGTATAAATAGTTCATAGTAGAGGGGATGTCAAAATTCAAACCGACTGCTGGGTACGTATCAGACGTACCGTCCAGTTACCGTAACTACAGCATAGACGATCAAAGCTCCTTCGCGCGGTTTTTCTCTGAAATCTTATCAGAACCTGATTTCTGCTATGGCTATCAAAATCATTTTTTCCTGATTACCAGTCAAAAATTCTTTTATTTCATTTATCTAAAACACGAGTATTGCCCCTCTCTGGTAAGTATCAACTCAAGCAGACTTCATTATACAGTACAATGTAATCTTTTTTCTTTCTTGCTATGTTTTGTGGTCAATAAATATAGCATACATGTAGCATATGCTATGCTATGCTATGTGCACTGGCGAATGAGATGTAGACTTGTCGTAAAGCTCCTTTATCTCAAAAGCCATTCTTTGGAATATTTCAATGATAATCTTAAAACAATAAAATGTAGTTTGCAAAAATTACAACTGAAAACCTTCGACTGCTCATGTAAACAACTTCAAATTAGTAGACTAATTTGACCTTTCAAGGTTGGTGTCAACCACGATAAACAATCAAACAAAACCTTTTACGTTGACCTCTCAAAGCAAATTCATTCTGCACGTTCTTTTGAGCCATTCGTTTATTTGTTTTCCTGGTAATTGCGGGCTTCGTTCATTGACTAAGTCGCATGAGATGGCGCGTAGTTTGAAATTCTGCCGTGATGGATAAGTTTGTGTTTGTTGTGTTCAAAGTAGTGTTCCAATTAGTCGTTCTAGAATATATATTGTTATATAAAAGATTTTCGTAGGATATCATTGTGTTATAGATTTAATAACCATAGAATTACTAGGCTGCATGGTTTTTTCGCAACGTAGCCCGCCCCCCATATTATTTGGCCAAATGACAGTTAAGAGCATCAAAAACGAATGAGGCTAAACACCTGTAATCCTACACAAAAACGGTACTCATGTGGGATTCAAGGTTGCAATCGGAAGGTGCTCGAAGACATTTGTTCGATGTTTGCAGCAGTTGGTACCACCAGAAGTGTAGTACCCTAGATAAAAAGTCATATGGGCTCTATACCGAACACAAATTCCTGAACTGGGTATGTGCTCTTTGTGTTAGGACGTATAGAGAGACGGCATTATTGGAGGAAACCCAGCGGATAGCTTCTGAGTTGTTGAAGTCGGCCACGAGAACTGCCACATTGATACGACGCAGGTGTAGTGGAAAAGATACTACATATACGAATAATAATGAAATAAACGGTACAAGAAGGATTATCCGCTGGTCGATTGATCCTGTTCTTGTGATGTGTGGTTCCGGTCGACGATGTGTAGAGGAGCTGAAATGAGTGACTGCGACAGTTAACGGACCGCTTGACGATAACTGATAATGCTTGCTGAATTCCTCAGCAACACTTGGAGAACACGTGCGTATTTACGAACAGAATTTTGTATTGTGTATTAGGTCCTGAGCATATTAAAACAACCTGTACAATCAGGTCAGATAAAGTGGATAGAAAAGTAAAACACTACACAGGGATTACACTGCACCTGATAAAGAGGTGTCGCATAGTAGCGAAGCTTTGAATAAGCTTCAAAAAGATACTGAAGTCTTAGTAGCTCGAGTAATGAAGCAGGAAGGGAGGCTGGTGTATCTTCAACAGGAGTTGAGTCAGCTAAGCATGAACATTCTATGACTGGAAGCCCTCGGCAGACACAGGAATGTCGTCATAAGAGGCATCACAGTACCCTTCTGCGTTGTAGGACGCCAGAAAAATAAGATCAGCCGCGAGACATTTGAAGTCGACACAAACCTTTGGATCATCTAGGGCCATTGTCAGTTGAATAGACCATATACTCCTGCCACCCAGAGCTGTTAGCCTTGGCCAGACATGCGTAAGTGTAGCCAGACGAAGCCTGGCGGAAATATTTAAACCCGTCCTAAGGAGAACCACATCAACCTCAGTGTTGAAAGCAAATGCAACGGAAAACGGAGAAAGAACTCGACGCAGGGCCTTTGATTTCGGCCGCGCCATTTAGCTCGAAAATCATATTTACATTGTTGTGGATTTACTTCTCATCAAATCGCATTATTATCAATTTCAAGGACATCAAATGCTATCCTACACGAGCACGTTCATGATATCGTTATGTGTTATCGCGCTAACTGCACCTTTTGTGAAATATTCCAAAAATGTGAGAAATGAATTCAAGCAGATGGGCAAAATACAAAACGGTAAAAGGAGGAATCATCAAGCAGGTTGGCAACTCACTCCCAGACAATGCAGTACCGGTCAAATACAAATTCCTCTCAATTTAACAAGCAATATTCGTCCTCTTTTAGGTTAAATCGAAGAGGTAGGAGACATCACACGGAAAAGGGAGTACAAAAACCTGGGAAATATTATGCTTCAGGAATCGTGGCTACCTGAAAAAATCCCCAGTGACATTATACAAGTGGATGGATATAACTCGTGTCGGGTTGACCGTCCCGCGAATGTCCGTAAACGACGCGATGTTGCAAGTAACGCCAGCGAAAACTGGAGCAAATCAACTGCTGGCATCTACGAATACTGAACGATTAAAATCAGTTGTCATGGCATCGAATGTGAGACCCGTTTTTTAGTAAGTTTCATTACATCCTTCTTGGAAACTTTTACCTGTCACCCACAATATCAGTTGTTGACATAAATAGCTTTTCGGACATTTTTTCTACCTCCATAATATCAAAAACAAGTGACTCTTTGTGTATATTTGTTAGTTATTTCAACAGACATGATGTAACATTCCCCACCCCACTGAGTCTACGAAATTTGGTCCTTTTTCTTACCAGAATGAATTCACAGCTTGATTTCGTTTTCGCAAACGGACCACAATATTTTGAAGTCCAGAAACGCGCTCCCCTGAGCAGTTCAGACCATTATATCTTAAAACTATGTTCATCTGTATGCAACAAAACCAGCCGATACACATTTTTAAGAAGGCCGTATAAGACCGTGAGTCAAAGAAATTGTTCACCAGGGAACCTAGAAAAGCTAAGATCCATGATTGCCGCCTCTGATTTTTCGGTGTTTCCCGATAAGAACCCTTCTGTCCTCTGACAACATGTTATGGTATACCGCCACAGTCCTGAAACACCTACTGAAAACAAAGTTGAATAAAGCATCGGGCCCTGATGATCCATCACCGCTAGTACTCAGGTCTGTGGGGCACCGTTTCAGCCCCATTGTGAAAATATTCAATTACAAGCGGGAAAATCCCTGAAGTTTGGAGACTGGTCAAGATAAATCCTGTTCCAAAAAAGAACCTGGGAAATATATTTCCATCGCCTGCACGTCAGTCATGCTCAAATTATTTGAGAGATGCTTATTACCGTGGGTTGCCACCAAGTCTGACGAAGACGACATATATCAATTTGCATATCGCTCTTCGCGGTCAACACTTGATACCGTTTCATACCTTGTTCATTCAATAATCTCCGTACTAAATAAGAAAAGTAAGACCGTTACAATGGATCAGTATTGCGCAACCTAATTACTGAAAGTGGTGTAAATTCAAACTTTAGCAGACTGATCTGTAATTATTTAACAAATAGAAGGCATTTTACGTGCCTCAACAGCAAAACGTTTTCCACTCGCCCGGTTGTTTCTGGTGTTCTGCAAGGTGCAATATTTTCCCCTTTTTTCTTTTCTATGTACGTCAAACCATTTCCCATTCTTCCTGCATTCATTGGCCGTAAGTACACTGATGACGTTGTTATAGGTTGCAAAGCATCCACCCCTGAAGAGACTTCAGAAATTCAAAGCAAGCTGATTGACGTTTCCACTTCATCCTTTTTCCGTTCCCTCTCCTTGAATGCCTCTAACCGTCAGGATTTTGTGTTTTTCCTTTTGGCCGATGTACCATATTCAGCCCTTACAGATAGGTTCCCCACCCTCTGCAAATCAACAACCTCTACCGAAATCAAAAATAGTAAAACACCTTGGCGTCACCCTATCACACAATTTATCATGGTCACTGCACGTTCAAAACACATTCTGTAAAGCTAAGAAAGGTTTCACATTTCTCAATCCGATTGAGATTAATTTCTGTTCCCCACAAGCTGTTTTTTAGATTTGTGAATGCATGCGTGCTACCCCAAGGGTTGTATTGCTCTCCAGTAACTTCTCCCGGTGTGTTGAAGAAAGACTTTTATTTACTGGCGAGATCTCTGAAACATCTCTAAATTTAGTGGCATTGTCAGAGATAAACTCGCCGATTGACAGACACCTACAAGCATGCGAAAGTTTCACTACCAAAATACTCTCAGACACTCATTACACAACGAATTTTCAAAGCTGTATCCACATCATCCACACGCTCAAGATTCAAACTTTTATTTGCACATACCTCCGCTTATCGTAATTCTGTTCTGCCAAATCTAGCACGTCTACATATAGACAAGGACAAAATTTCCACAGAATTGCGCAACCGCTTGCTTCATTGACAAACGCACCGCATTGCTTTCAGTTTCATTATGTAATGATTTTGTAAATTTGAATCCACAAATATGGTATAATTGCTGGTGCTACTACCGACTTAACTTGAATTGTAGCACCCCAGTGCAAGGTCAGCCAGGTTAAANATAGAGGCCAAAGGCGAACGAGGGAATGTACCTGTTGTACACCAATGCCTGCAGCATTGAGAACAAATGCGGAGAACTCAGGGTTGAATTCAGAGGCTTCGACTATATAGCTGTGACGGAAACCTTGTTGCACCAGGATACAAAGGCAGAAACGCTGGCATCCCCTGGATACTGCAACTCCAGGGCAGACGGGTGTATGTCAACCAATTCGCACTTGAGTGACGCGTAGCCGAACCGATACGAATCCCNTGTACAATAAACAAAACCTCAAATATGCGGCCAAAAGCACTCAACCAAGCGAGCCAAATAAGATGTCCAGAGAGAGGCAAACAGTCGCTCCCGTTCTCAAACCACGCCAAATTCAAATGTGCCGGGCATCCAAATTAACAGATAAATAAGGATGTATGGTGTTTGTGATTGAGAAATGTCAATATAAGAGTAACACACAGATAAAGTTTTTTTGCCATAAATCATTATGGGCTCGGAAGGATTTTCAAAAGTTCAACATAAAATACACGCAGTGGGGTACCCCAGGGCTCTATCTTAGGCCCCAGACTGTTCGCAATATTTGTGAAGAATCTCTCTGTAGGCATACAGTCAAACCTAATGCCGTATGCAGACGACGTTAAGATCTGTCAGGAGATTCGAAGCCCTGCAAGAGGACCTAGACAGGCGTTTAACCTGGCCAGTCGCAAAACGGTTGCCGTTCAACTCTGACAAATGCAAGGTTATGCACATTGCAGGGAACCGTACAAACGACTACTCGTTGGGAGGTAGACCACTGCAGAGGGTCACGCACGAAAGAGGCCTGGGCACAGTCATTATCGATGATCTGTATAAGCAAACTACTTGCAACACACTGGCCCAGAGGAAAGTATTCAAACTCAACCAACTCAGCCGACTCCTGGGGAAATTCACACCAGAATCTTTCCCCAAGATGTTCGCTACGCTCATTAGGCCACATTTAGAGATTAACATCCAGGCGTGCCCATTCCTGCCTACGAGGGTTATCAACGCCATTGAGTGGGCACAGCGGAAAGCCATCAAATGAGTACAGAACTTGTCACGCACACCATATCCGGACAGACTCCGTTCGCTCAACTTGTACAGCATGGAGTATACGATGATAAGGGGCGACCTGATTCTCCTGAGAGACACACTCAGCATTCAGGGCACACCAGCAGGCATCTGTTCACAACGGCCCCTCCGTCAGCACTACACGGCCACTTTATGAAACTGGAGAGGCAGCGTCCCAAACTGAGAGCCCGGGAACAATGTTTCTCGGTACGTGTATGTCGCCATGGCAACTCACTGCCAACGACCTTAGTCGTTCAAGAAGCTACTTGAACAACACAACCGAACATTATCCTGGCGCTCCGTTTGGCATACCGTTACTGGCGATCGAAGTGACCCCAGCCTTGGACATCTGAGCACCGACCTTTGATTGCTGCGATTTTCGTACATTGTATGTTTGCAGATGAGATGATGTGAATGTGTGACCCCTTGATTTTTAACTTTGCTCTGTCCTCACTGATACCAGAGCTGCATTCTGCGATGAAGACTAAAGACCCGATGGCTGGTCACTCAGTATGTACCACATAGGTCTACTCACCCAGGTAATAAAACACCGGGAGTTTTATCCCTCATGGCCCAGAAAAAAACTATAACGATAAAAAACGAAAACCCACCGGCTAGAAAATAATGCGAGGAACACTCAAAAGTGAGTGACTGGTGATAGGATAGACTCTGGTCGGCTCCCAAAGTCTCATGGTGTTGAACGCGGAAATAATAATAATAATAGGAAAAAGAGAAGGCTGCCCA